AGCAGAGAAGCTCCAGGTCACAGCCTGGCCAGGATCTGCCTTTCTCTTATCCAGAACCATCACCTGGGGATCCTGTGGTGCTCCTGAAAACGGAGATACCAAAGCACCTGGGAGCGTTTGTGCTGGGCAGGACGTGCAAACCTCAGGCACCTGCCCTTCAGAGCCAGCTCAGCCACTGCCCCAACAGCAGGGAAAGCCAGGACAGCATTCCCTCCTCAGCCTGCTCCCCATGAATAAATGGCATTGCAAGGGGATCCCGTGGCATCCAAACAGCTCAGCAGACCCAGCAACGCTTCCGGATTAGACATTTTCCAAAGATTATTCCTCTTTAAACGAGCAGCTGAACTGAATGAGCTCCCTGAGCCGGCCACCAGGGTAGCAGGAAAGGACACCCTGCCACTGGACTGGCTGCAGGGATCAAAGACAGCCCCTTATTCTGGGAACGCTGGAGGGAAGGATTAGTCACTGCCACAGCCATGAGACTGGCACAGAACCCGGCCAAAATCCTCAGGAATGCTCCAGCACACACACATCACCTCAGGAATGCTCCAGCACACACACTCCACCTCACCCTGAGGAAGGAGAAAGGAAACTGCAGCCACAACAGAGGGACCTGCACTCACTTGGGAGAGGGAGGAGCTGGAAGTTCAGGCTGTCCCTTCCTAGAGCGTGAGTAGAGGTTGTGAAAATACTGGTTAGGGATAAATAAGGTATAGCCCCAAATCCCAGAATGGTTTGGGTTGGAAGGGACCTTAAAGTCATCTCATTCCACAGCCCTGCCATGGGCAGGGACACCTTCCACTAGCCCAGGTTGTTCCAAGCCCCGTCCAATCTGACCTTGGACACTTCCAGGGATCCAGGGGCAGCCACAGCTTCTCTGGGAATTCCAGCCCAGACCCTCCCCACCCTCCCAGCCAGCAATTCCCTCCCAGTCTCCCATCTGTCCCTGCCCTCTGGCAGTGGGAAGCCATTCCCTGTGTCCTGTCCCTCCATCCCTTGTCCCCAGTCCCTCTCCAGCTCTCCTGGAGGCCCTTTAGGCTCTGGAAGGGCCTGAACACCCCCAGCTCTCTCAGAGATGTTCCAGCCCTGTGATCAACTTAGTGGCCTCCTCTGGACTCATTTAAATACATTAAAACAAACTCCCTTCAGGCAACTCTGGCTGCTCAAGCTCAACTCATCTTTTCAGGTTCTTAGGCTTAAAAGCAGAGCAGAGACAGGCAAAGCACAGCAGGATCTGAACCTTCCTGGGCGCATCTGAATTCCACCTCCGAGGACTGGATGTGTGGCTGCCTCAGTGTTTCTGTTTCATTCCTTTCCCTTTGCTTTTAACTCACGTGGATGAAAAGGCTGTGGAGGAACTGCAGAGGAACGGGTGAGGTTCCTCCCATCACTGCTGGTTGGAAACCCCGAGCACAGCGGGGCTGGAAGGGGAGGCTGGAAGTCTCCATCCCAGAAACAGAGCCAGATCTTCTCCTTAACGACTCCTGCTTTGCTGCCAGGAACCTTTCCAAGGTTAACGTGTGTGCAAGGAGGAACTGCCAAACTCACTCCGAGCCCACTGCAGCCTTCCCAGCTGCTCAGAGCAGCGCCTCATCCAAACTCCTTCCCCCTTTTCTTCCCTACAGACACGGCAAAGCAGCAGCAGCCCCTGGTGAGGGGTGAGCAGCACCATTCCAGGGGCCTCAGCAGCCACAGCGCTGTGGTGGATGGGGGGGTTGTTACACAAACAAGGGCTTCTCATTCCCAACCTTTGCTGCTTGAAGTGAGAGGGGAATGGTTTTTACAGCTCGGCTCTGGCACGAAGGCACTTTAAAAGTGAGGGTGACGGACCTGCAGCTGTTCCAGGGGCAGCCCTGAGTGGTTACACCGACTTCACATGAGGTTAGATTTGCACAGAGTCACCTCAGGCTGGGTACAGGGCCAGGGTATTCGATCAGACCTCCGTGCAGCTGAGGAATCTCGCTGATTTTACAGTAAATCACAAGAAATCTACACTTAAGGAAAAGTTTTTAACAATCAGGTACGTTCTGCAGCCCTGTTTGTCTCATTATCCATGGAAGACTCGAACGCAGCTTTGAGCTCTGCTCTCAGTAAATTCCCAGCCCACCAGGGAGAAGGAACCACTTCACCTGCTCTGCAGGACCAAAGCACAGCCAAGCACACAAAGTTCCAAGGAACTGATCAGTAAATAAGGTCAATCCATGCAGTGAGTCTGCAGGAAGGAAGCCCAACTCTCCCCTGGGGAATTCTGCCAGACCAGAGCCACACAGCTGGAATACAGTCCTAAGTCCCACCAAGGAGCTCTGGAGCTCTTGTCACGAGCAGCCTGGGTGGGACTCAGGGCTCTGCTCTGCTTCCAAAGGCTCTTTCAGCCCTGGATGTGCTGAATGCTTTGTTTGCCTCAGTAGGCTGGGATTTACATGGAATCACGGAATGGTTTGGATGGGAAGGGACCTTAAAGCTGGTTTCATTCCCCCCGCTGCCATGGGCAGGGACACCTTCCACTATCCGAGATGGTTCCAAGCCCAAGCTGGCTTTGGACACTCCAGGGATCCAGGGGCAGCCACAGCTTCCCTAGGAATTCCAGCCCAGCCCCTCCCCACCCTCACAACCAAAACTTCCTTCCCAATCTCCCATCTGTCCCTGCCCTCTGGCAGTGGGAAGCCATTCCCTGTGTCCTGTCCCTCCATGCCTTGTCCCCAGTCCCTCTCCAGCTCTCCTGGAGCCCCTTTAGGCTCTGGAAGAGGCTCTCAGGTCTCCCTGGATCCTTCTCTTCTCCAGATGAACTCCCCCAGCTCTCCCAGCCTGGCTCCAGAGCAGAGGGGCTCCAGCCCTGGGAGCATCTCCGTGGTCTCCTCTGGACTGGCTCCAGCAGCTCCACGTCCTCGTGCTGTTGGATTTTCTCCAACAGCCTTCTGGCTCCAGGTGCTCTGATCATGGATCATGGCACATGTGCTGCTGTTGTGCTGCTCCTGGCAGTCAGAGGTGCCTGGACACGCTTCAAGCACAAGGAGGGGCCCCCAAATCTGCCCTCATTCCTTTCTCTTCCCCACAAAGCTCTGTGCTTTGGGACCCAAGCACAGGGCAATTCCCTGCATCCCAATGTTACTGAAACATTTATCAGCACTCCCAGATCTGAGAGAACTGGATATTGCCCATCAAAAGGCGCTTTCCCCACCCCCCCCATAAGGAAATCAGATCCACAGTTCTGCAGTTTCCTTTGACATTGGTTTGTCTTTCTTCCAACCCTCACGTTCCAACCCCACCTGCCTCTTCCCCTGGCCAGCACATCCCACATCTCAGCCTCTGCTCCCCAAGTTCTTGTGCCCTTTTCCACAGCAGATCTTAGGGTGAAGCCCAGGTTAAGCTTCCCATCATTCCTGCACCAAACCAGCCTGGAGATGGACTCAGCAACAAGCACGTGAGTGGGATGGATTCCCACAGGCTGAGCAGGGTTAACCTCTCCCTGGGAGAGATCCCAGGAGACTTGGGCTCTTTAAAAAAATGGGATTTAGAAAAATGGGGAGAAAGGAGACATGACCACACTTTGGGAAAGGACCCAGCAGGAGCTCTGTGTGCCTGGCATCACGAGCACAGTGTTATCATCCAACACCCCCAAGCAGACACAGGACAATTTTCCCCCCTGGAACCGAACATTCCCTATGGCACACGGACCCCTCAAAGGCAACAACAACTCCTATGTCCAAGTCCCCAAAAAAACCCAGTGGGGCTCCAACACAACAGATGACAGCAAGGTACAAAAAGCCATTATCCTCCATCAACAGAAACATCTTTTTTCCACCACAAATAACACCCATCAGCAACCCCAAGGAGACCAATCCGCTCTCCGAAGGAGGAACGCCGCCGTTTTCCGGCGGACACAATGCAAAGATTCCGCGGAATTCAGACCTTCAACGGGACTAATGTGAAAGATTATTTCCCAATTATCCCAGCAATTTTCTCTCCTCATTGTCCCCGGACTGTGAGGGCTTTTAAATGCGAGCAGAAGGATTTATTCATCCCCGTAATAATGAAAGGAAATATTAAATCAATGAATCTCTTTGCACGCAGCATAAAGCTCACGTTGCTGCGAAGCCCAGCGGTGTCCTGTCACATAAACCACACGCAGTTTGCCTCCTTAAGTACCATCTCCCTCTTTTATTTCTCCTTTCCCTAATTTGTGAGGCATTATCCTTCCATTTGTCCTCTAAAACACGGCCGGATTCAGCCCACACGGTGTCAGTTGTTGTCAGTGGCTCTGTGGCTGTGCTTTAGTGGAGATTTATATTTAATATTGATTGTTAACAATGGCCAGGGCAGGAAGTTACGCTGGGACGACAGTGAAGTCCTAAAATTAATATATAAATAACAATTTAGGGAGAAATTAACCCCTTACAATGTGCAAGTGAGCAGCTGGGCGTGAAAATGAACGTTGGGGGGTTTGAAGGTGTCGATCCTTCAGCTTGGCTGGGGGGAGGAAAATAACCAACCCAAACCTGTGGAAAACTCAGCTACAACCTTTGGAGCACGGAAGGCCACGTTGGCCTTGCCTTGTAATTCCTTCCCTGCCATCCCCTGTAATACAAAGTGAGAGATGAGTTCTGAGGTCTCCGCAGTCGACACGGATTCAGTGGGTCCCTCTTTTGTTTTGATAAAAAATTCATCCGGTGAAGTGCAGAAACAGTTACTACTTAGGTATTTATAAGGTGTCAACTGTCCTCACAGCGAGGAACTTAAAGAGCCTGAGGAAAGATTTCCAGAGAGCAGGAATCTCTGGCTTTAAGCCCTGAGATTCACACTGGGCTCCGCTCCAGCAATTCCCGTTCCACGAGTGCCCAACACCTGGAACTTCTCGTTTTTCTCCAGCACCCAGATGAGGTCCAGACACCTCACACCATCCCCACAGGACCGAAGCTGAGCTGCTAGGCTTACAAAAGAGCCACTTCCAACACCCAAACCCCACCAGGCGACGAGACCCAGCGCAGCTCCACCTGCCTTACCATGATGGGGACGCCGATGTCCGGCCACAGGAGATCCTCGGAGGGGAGCTTGGGGGAGTTCCACACCACCACCACCTTATTTAAGTAGGGGAGACCATTGAGCCTTTCCAGGGAGTTCATCAGCACTTCCTCCCGCTCGTAAGTCAACATCACCACCGTGAACTGCTCCCGGGGCACGTTGCCGCCCAGAGCGGCCTGGAACTCCTTCCCAGAGCCACCCGCTCCTCCGCCGATCGGCCGAAACCCAGTGCCGGACCCCAGAAACTTCGCTTCCGATGGTAAAACGGGGTCAAAGGGAGTGTAGGGGAAGAGGTGGAAAGGCCCCGGTGCAGAGTTCCAGTTCCTGTAGATATCCATTGCCGTGAGGGTGAAGTTGCGGAGATATTTGGGGGATGCATAGGGGGGTTCTGTCTCCACAGGCCCCAAGTCCAGGTCGCCGTTGTCGGCCATGTTGGGGTCTGTACCAGCAGCTTTGCCAGAGCGGTGGGGGATCTCCACGGAGGGCTCTTCTCGGATGGGAGCGGCCGGGATTTGGATTCGAGTCCTTATGACGGCTAAGACCGTGCTGAAGACGTTGTCCGAGGTGGAGAAGTAGGTCTCCCACAGGAAGCGGCCCTGCCTCCTCATGGCAAGGAGATCGTTGTCAGAAATGCTTCTCAGAAGGAAGTGCACTTCTGTGATACGTGGCTTTGGTATGATTAAGGCTGCCTCGTTCCACCGGATCACGTCGTTGTAGGGAAGCTGGACCTGCTCTCCGAGAACCACCGGGATGGCTCCGACTTCCAGAGCCTCAAACAGTCTCATGGTGCACCCGGCGGAGATCACCAAACGGGTGTCCCCGGGGGTGATGATCAGTGCAAAAGTAGAAAGCTTCAGTAGCTCTAGTCTGTCGTCCCTTTCTCCACACAGAGCCCACTCAGTGGGCAGACTCGCCTTGGGCTGGTTCTTACACGTGAACTCCACCAGAACGAAGTCCAGCTTGCTGTCCTGGACGGCCTTCAGGGTGGTGATGATCCGGTCGTCGTAGTCAGCCGGGGCGTTGCCTTCGATCTCCTCCTCGAAAGAGCGAACCTCCTGCAGGCTGGACCTCAGAGACTCGATCTTCTCCCCCTGGAAACTGAACAGGTACTTACGCTTGACCGGCACCTGGGGCGGGATTTCCAGGAAGTTGGGTTCGGACATGGCGTGGACCAGGGGCGACACCACGATGTCGAAGCCCGGGCGATACTGCGCGTCGTAGAAGGTGGACTGGGCGACCATGGCGCGCCCCGTGCTGACGTTGTAGAGGAAGTTCTGAGTCTCCGACTTCCTCGACAAGTTGATGATGAGATGGTTGTGTCCATCAGTCCTCCAGTACGGCAAAGAGTGCAACTGTTGCTCTAGTTCAGTAGGTTTTGGCATTACGGGCTCTTGCATCTCCCCCGCTAAAACTATGTACACACAAGCAATATTTGCATTTTCAGTAACATAAACATTAGTTCTGACGGTCGCCTCAAAGGCTTGTTTAATTAAAGGGTCCAAGGAGCTACCAAAGGGGTAATCGTCACTGTTGTAGACATAGACTGGGAAGCCAGACGTCAAGGGGCAGCGTGAGTAGTCGAAGCAGTTGTGCAGCCTGCAGTTCCTGTTGGATTTTGGCAGGGGGAAGGTCGCGTCGTCCTTGTCGGGCAGCAGCCGGATGGGCAGGGAGAGCTTGGGCTGGTTCTGTGCCATCAGCTCCTTGTAGGAGTGCTCGGTCTGGCTGATGACGTTCTTCAGCTGCAGCAGGTCCTGCTTGGCATTTTCGATGCTCTTCTTGCAGGCCTCGATCTTGAGGTTGAGCTTGGCGATCTCGCTGTTGAGCTCCTGCCGCTTGGCCTCCAGCTGGAGCAGCTCCTCGCTGACCGACTCGCGGATGCGGCACAGGTCCTGCACGTGCTTCACCTCGCACAGCTCGTTGCCCGTCCGGGGCCCGAAGATGCGCTTGCCGGCGTCGTCCGCGTCGTCGATGGTGGTCAGGTAGTAGTGGGCGATGAGGGGGAAGAAGACGAGGATGATGAAGAGGGTGAAGCTGAGCCAGGTGAGCCGGATCCGACTGGACCACCTCAACACCCAGGGCTGGCCTCCGTTCCCCACTCCCCCATTCCGCAACATCGTATATCCAGTCATGGGTTCCGGAGTCGCCGCGCGCCCAATCACGTCGGGTCAGTAGCCATAACCAAAAGAGTTCGTGTAGCGAGTCTGCCGGATAAAAATGTTATTGTGCCTGCTCAGCGAGAAGCCAGCGGAAGGGGAATTTCATCTTCTGGCCGTGCCGACGGCTCTTCCACGGTCGTTTCGCTGCAGGCACGACTTTTGACCCCGCTGGAGTCGGTCATCGACCTTCTCGCCCGCCCCCAGCCCACCCTTTCCACGGGCAACCTTTGCCGGGAGTGTCACGGCGTTGTCATGGCCACCCGAAGGCCCGGTCGGCCGAAGGAAAACGCAGTGGGACGGAGCCAAACTCTACCGCTGCTCCCGACATCCTGCGCTACCACGCCGGGAATACGCAGCGGCCATCGCGGAGAAGGAGCCAGGAGGGACTCGCAGGAGCGTCAGTCTCTGTCATCGCTGCGGCGGGGATGACGCTCTGCCATTCCTGCAGGAGAACAACCACACGGTCAGGCAACGCCAACAAACCCACCAGAACATCGTTAGATTTCAAAGCAACTGTTCTGTCTCAAAAGGGCAAGGTTTGTACACGGCCAACACCTCTGGGGTCAACACCAGAACACCCGAGGAGGTGATGGGCTCCATCAGATGTGGCTTTTTCCAGACATTCTGCCCTTCGTTAGGGTCACATCCTTCACTGCCAGCCCACACCCACCCCAGCCCCGGACCTGGATCCCTGTCTCTGCCCCTGTCCTGCTGTGTAACTCCACAGGAGCTACTCAACACCTGCAAGGCCCCGTCCCCTCACAGAGCCATTAACGCAGCCCTGACATCCCTGCCCACCCTGCTGGCATCCCGGGAATTTGGATGGCACAGCCGAGCGTAATCACCATTGTTCTGCTTCAGCGACCAGGGCTGATGAGGAATTTTTAGATGGAGTGTTTTGCTTTCATTTCCTGCTGGAAAATTTTGATTCATCGCATGAGGAAGTTTAAAGGGAACGCTCTGGTTGTGATTAACTCCGCTGGCTGCGGAACGAGGGGGTTCCTGGGCAACACTGGAAGAGTCTATGCTGCACATCAAAGCAGAGGTGCTGAATTCAGGATCTGCTGGGTTCCTGTCACCAAGGTGGTATCAGCTTGGAGAACTGTGCTCTGGCACAGAGTGCCTACCTAGCACGGGCATAAAAAAACAAGGACATGGCACAAGTCCCTGGAGAGGGAGGTTTCACAAGGACATGGCACAAGTCCCTGGAGAGGGAGGTTTCACAAGGACATGGCACAAATCCCTGGAGAGGGAGGTTTCACAAGGACATGTGGTGGGAATGGCCTTAAACTGAAGGAGATTGGGTTTAGATTAGATATTAGGAAGGAATTCTTGGCTGGGAGGGTGGAGAGGTCCTGGCACAGGTTGCCCAGAGAAGCTGTGGCTGCCCCTGGATCCCTGGAAGTGTCCAAGGCCAGTCTGGACAGGGCTTGGAGCAAGCTGGGCTAGTGGAAGGTGTCCCTGCCCATGGCAGGGGTTGGAACAGGATGATCTTTAAGGTCCCTTCCCACCCAAACCGTTGATTCTCTGAAATCCAGCTCCGAGTTTTAGCTCTGGGCCAACAGATTCAAATCTAGGGCACATCAATATGCTGCCACTAGAAACTCTCCAAGGCACTGAAGTTTCTGGGATATTCTTCCACACACTGGACTTGCCACGTCACTGATGGATTCAGTGCCGGGCTCCTGCACGGCCTCAAGAGGAGCTTCTTCATTTCCGCTTCAATTTTTAATTAGAGGAAAGTCATCCACGCCGGTGACGGTCATTTCTCACTAAATCTATTTAATGCCCCTCTCAGCTCCTCATCAGGAATTAGCAGAAAGGAAGCAAATCTCAGCTGAAAGATCTGGAAATGGGCCAAAAAGCAAAGCAAAAAGAAAAAAAAAGTTCACCTTAAAGGAGCAGGGAGAAGTCAGGAGGAATTTTCAGCGTGGCACTCGAGTGTTGGGGGAAAACACGTGGAAAATTTGGTTTTAACCAGGAAAAATCATCTTGGAAGGGGGAATGTGTGGAGTAACAAAGCACAGTTCTTAGGGCTCTTGCTACATGGTCATTTGTTGGCAGTAATTTAACACCAATTAAATGGGATTTCCATCCCCCCTCCCGCCAACGTGACCCAAAATTGAGCAGCACAGCAGAACGGACGCTTCAGACTGAGACAGATTGGAAATTCATGGCATTGGCAAACAGCACTGGCGTAAATCTTGGAAAGCTGGGAGGATAAAGGGGCTAAGAAGTCAGCAGAAAGGCTAAATCAGCTTTCTTGGATCCTGGCAGGGCTTGGGGGAGGCTCCGGCCTCGTCCCTCCGGGACTGCCGGTCCACAGCACCAAGGTTTGAGCAGGAGCCACTGAACAACCTGGGCAACTGAAGGCAAAAATATTAATACTATTAATTAAAAAAGGCTTTTAAAGCCTATTTTCCTCTCTTACCCCCCCTTTTCAAGCTCTCTGCAGCAAGTGGAGCTCGTGCTGTGTGTCTGTGTGTGCCAGTGGGGCAGTCCCTGCTCTTTCCACCTGCTCTCCCGGGGGTTGCAAAGATCTTGGAATTGCCACCAGTTTTCTGCAAACAGCTGACCAGGAGATGAGCTGCCCTATTAGTGCTTTTCCTGAGGGAAATGCCAGAGCACACACTCACTTGGTCTAAAAATCAGCTCCACTTCAAGGCACACGTGGGGAAAACAAGCCCTGCTGGTTATTTTTTTGTTTGGGGGTGCCATGGGATAAGTGGGGCCAAACCCTGCAGGGTGTTGAGACAACACAGAAACGAGGGAATCACAAATGTGGCCAAAAAAAGAATGAGGGGGCACATGGACACGCTGCTGTGGGCTGGGCAGAGCGAGCTGCAGCTCCACAGGCAGTAAAGGAAACCCCAAAAGGTGAGACTGCATCTGAATTTGATTCCTTTATGGCCACTTTGCCGATTTTATAAGCCATAAACAGTAATGAAATGGTAAACTGGACTCCCTAAAACGGCAACTGGGGTCCTTGGAAAGCTAAATCCGTCACCCCACACATGATCCTCAGCAGCTGCTCTGCCCACCCAAGCCTTCCAGTGGCTCCCCTGGTCCTTTCCTTCCCTGACACAGAACAAACTTTACCCCCCTGGCCTAAAAATGTGGGTTGTGAATTAAAAATATCCTTGGGCTCAGAAACCTGAAGCTGACAAAGTGACTCTGTAGCTCTCTTGGAAAACACCATGTGGTAAAGAGCAGAGGAGGCTGAGGAGGGATTTAAAATGCACCACGTGTGGCTTGGGATCAGTTAAAAGTATTGACTGTCACTATGAAATATGTGCTGGTGATAAAGTGAGCACTTTAGACACACTCTTGGACTCTTCTTCATTATTAAGACTTTATTTCTCATCAACTCAGCAGAGCCTGAGGTTGTAACACGTTGTCATTAGGACTTCGAGAGAAAAAAGGCAAAGTGAAAAACCTAATTCCTGGTTTTACCAAGAGACACTTCAGTGTTGTGTTCAACAGCAACAAGCAGCACTGGGAAGAAAAGGCTGCAGATTTCTATCACTCCCAAAAAGAAATGTGGGAGGAGGAGAAACAGGTTGGTTGCTGGGTTCTCCCAAGTACTATTTAGTTCTTTAATCCAGCCCAACACTGAAAACTCTCGCTGATGTCACAGCACAACTTCACTGCCTGATGGAGCTAATTACACACTCAAAAAAAAAAAAAAAAAAAAAAAGGCAAGAAAAGCTCTTAGGAAATCAGAAGATCAATAATTATCAGAGATGCTCCCCAAATGCCAACCCCAGTGACTTCTGGGGCACAACAGGTTTGCTCTCCGCAGCTCTCTCCCAGGGAACGGGGCTGTGAAACTAAACTGCTGTTCAGCACGTTGCCAAAGCTCAGGCTGCATTCCCAGCCTTCCCCAGCTCCACAGCAGGAGAAGTCATGGGAATACCTGAGGCTGTCCCTCATTTTGCCTTTCTAGACAGTGCCAGGCTGGTCTGATCTGTGGGTGCTCGTGGGGTCGTTTCTCTGCAAACCTTCCAAGTCCTCCTCCAAACACCTGAGAAACAACTACTCCTCCTTGCTTGCACCTCCATTTATCCATCTCCCTACAAAATTAGGGGAATGCTGGGCCTTCCTCAGCATATTTGTGAGCAGAGCCTGGAAAATTTAAACATGTGGTCTGTCAGGGCTTAGCAGAGCAACCCACAACCATCAGGCACAATATGATGGCAGAGACTGCAACTGTGGGGAGGAAAATCCACGGGGATCCTGCACCCGCTAAAGTAGAGCTCCCAAAATCTGGTCTGCAGGCATCCATACCCATCCTTACTCCCCTTCCTTATGAACTGATGGCTCTGCAGTGCTACTGCTGCTGTGTCACCCCCACAAAGTCCTGCTTTGATGGCCTTGTCCGTGGAGAACGAACCCACCTGTGTCCCGCCAGCTCCCTCCTGGTAAACAGAGAAGGACGTCAGGGAGTGTGTCAGCAGCTCCTGTGCTTTATCTCTCCAGGCTTGGATAAACAGTTTCTACTGCCAGGTCTCTCTCACCAGCACTGGAAGTGAAATCAAAGAGAGAAAATCAAAATACAGGATGTTCTCCCCCCTTTCAGAACAGGTGTAATGGAGAAGAGACGAGCAGCAAACAGCCCTTCAGCGACGATAACTTTCTGCTTCCTAAAGCTCTCAAAGGAAAGGATTACACCCCAAATCTCCACCTGCTTTGGGAACAGGAGCAGTTGAACAAGGAGAATAAATCTATTAGGTGTGTGCTTTAAGGGTACGTTTGAGAGCAGCTCTTTGAAAGGAGCAGATGGAAAATTCGCTCTGCAACGCTCCGCGTGCGGCAGCCTCGGGATCACGGCGAGGGATTTGTACCTTCTCCGGAGCTCAGGGGCACAGGGAAATTCTCCCAGGCTGAGATCAACACACCGGTAAAAGGCCCTGTAATCGGTGAATTCTGGGGATAAACTGCATGCCTGGCTTCAGGGAGCTTTTATCCAAACCAAGGAACGTTCACTGCGTTTGCAGCTCCACGCGAAGCCAAACCTGCTTCCAGCTGTGCTGCCCATCCCATGGGATAAAGGGGTCCTGGACAAACATCCAAGAGTCCCTTCCTGTGCTTTCTCTGGCACTGCCTCTCTCCAGCAGCTCAGAGGAAATCACAGACCCTGCTCCAGGCCTCCCTCTCCCTCTTTCCACAGCAAAGGTGAACTCCAACTGCTCCAAGGCTGGCACGGGAAGAACTGCCACTGGCTCCCAGCTTTGTGTTCCCACCTAGGGCACAGGGACAGGATCCTGCTCCAGGAGATGCTCACTGCTGTGGTGAGAAGGTACAGAAACCTCCCCTCAGGTGCTTCCAGGTACTGGGCTTTGCCCTGTCCTGCGCCTCAGCCGAGCTCAACAGAGTGCTCCACAAACATTCCTTTATTCTGATGGAATCCTCAACACCACAGGAAAACCACCTCCAGCTTTCAGACAGCAGGTAATGGAGAAACAACCTGCCCAAGGTCACCCTGGGCTGGGATTCACTCCACATCCAATCATCCCATCCGCCAGCTCATCCGTCTTCCCAGCCTGCCTTTTCCCAGCCTGTTCCCTTTCTCCGGTGCCTTTCTGCTGTTTGCAGAGTGCATCCTGAAATCTACTTTACCTACAGAGCTTTCAGTCCTCAGATTTATTATTTAGTGTTGTTTTCTGGTAATAAACCAGTCAGGGTGTTTTATTTCTCGCCTCTTCCCCCCGGGCTGCACACGAGCGCTTCTCTGCTCAAAGGAACATCCAGCCCACGAGCCAATCCGTCCGTGTCCCGTGGGATTGAGCGGCACAGAACCCTGGATTCAAAGGTCACCCCCTCTCCTCTCCAAATCTCGGAGCAAGGGACCACAACAGTCTTGAGGTGAGACCAGAGAGAAGAGCTGGGTGCTCCACATCACACCAGAGAAGCCTGAAGAGGTCAACTCCAGACAGGGCTGATTCCCCAAATGCTGCCTCCACGAGACAGCTCAAGTCCTTGGAATTCTTTGTGGTTTCCAGGTTATTTTCACCAAGGCAAAACCACAAACCACTCTCCCGTCCCTAAAGCACCCTCGGAGCCGCTTCCGCAGCAGGAAATAACCCCGTGGCAGGTTTGGGTTCCTGCCCTCTGACAGAAGCTGCAGCTCATCATTAAGCATAAATCTAAATTTTCTGCTGACCTGGAAAGGTTCTAAGAAAAAGGAAACATTGCCTGAAGAGCACAGAAACACGCAGGGTGTTTGACAGCATCTCACCCAGCAGGGTGGGTCACTGTGGAGAACGATCCATCTGCAGGGGTTTTATGGAGAGTTCTCCCATTTCCCACATGCAGGGACTGAACCAGTGCTGGGGACTGAACATCTCCATCAAGGGGCCTCTAACAAGCATGAAATCACATGAATGGTTTCTCATGGACCTCAGAGGCCAAGGAGGCGGGTCAGCAGTGAGTCCTGACGGGAAGTTTCTATCCAAGGAAAGCCCACAGGAACAGGGAACCCCCCAGCTGCTACACCTGAGCGAGGTGCAGCGACACTCAATTCATCAGTGCCACGTGGCCAAATGAACCATGTCAAACAACTCCAAGCGTGCCTTCCCTCCCTGTGACAGCTCCTTCACCTGCTCCCCCGTGTGCATCCATGCTGCTGTGTGTCCAGCACCAGCTTTTCCCTCCCCTCTGGGATGTGTGGGATGGGCAGCTGCCTCATTAACAGCTGACGGCCGCCTGCACTTTTTGGAGAGGCTTCATCGCAGTAAATGGGGCTGTTCTGCCTCAGACAAGGCCAATGGATCATCCCAAATAACTAAATTACCTGATGTGCTGTAATCACCCATATTTATACAGCAGGGGGGTTCTTATCCCACACAGTCCATTGCCAAGCAAACTGGAAATTCGGATCACAGAATGTTTTGGGTTGGAAGGGACCTTAAAGTCATCTCGTTCCATCCCTGCCGTGGGCAGGGACAACTCCCACTATTCCAGGTTGTTCCAAGCCCCGTCCAACCTGGTCTTGGACACTTCCAGGGATCCAGGGGCAGCCACAGCTTCTCTGGGTAACCTGTGCCAGGGCCTCCCCACCCTCCCAGCCCTTCCCAATATCCCATCTGTCCCTGCCCTCTGGCAGTGGGAAGCCATTCCCTGTGTCCTGTCCCTCCATTCCTTGTCCCAGGTCCCTCTCCAGCTCTCCTGGAGCCTCTTTAGGCACTGGAAGGGGCTCCAAGCTCTCCCTGGATTCTTCCCTTCTCCAGGTGAACCCCCCCCAGCTCTCCCAGCCTGGATCCAGAGCTCCAGCCCTCGGAGAATCTCTGTGTATTTACAGATCTCCCTGCTGTTCCAGGCACCCACAGCCAGCCAGGAACTGGCACCACATGAAGCATCTGTGCTGTGAAACTGCTCCTGGCCAAGGCCTCGTGTCAGAGAAAGGCCCCACCTGAAACCAAGAGGCACCACAGGCACAGACCTGTCAGGTAAGAGCTCTGCCAGCTCAGGCAGTGCTATGAAATAAAGAAATAAAATATTATTGGATAATAAAAATGGATGTGGGGAAGAGATTCCTCCCTGTGAGGGTGGTGAGGCCCTGGCACAGGTTGCCCAGGGAAGTGTCCAAGGCCAGGTTGGACAGAGCTTGGAGCAACCTGGGATAGGGGAAGGTATCCTTGCCTGTGGCAAAGGGTGCAACAAGATGGTCTTTAAGGTCCTTTCCAATCCAAACCATTCTGGGATTCTGTGAAAAGCCAACAAAGGTCCTGCAGGACCCTCGCGCTGCCCAGGTGAGGACGTGCCGGTGTGGACATGGACAAATAAATCACCTCAAAACACACAGAGAGGACAAACCCCGGCGCCTGAGGTTTGTGGGAGGGTTTAATGAAGTCATTAAGCAGCAGAGGAGTGTATGATAGGAGATAAGCACCAGCAGAATTCATGGTAATTAAATTCCTACAAAGCGGCGCCGGATAATTTGACACACGCTGAGCGCTGTCTTGTCACCGGTGCCCAGCGCTTTGCTTGCAGGATAGCGGAGACAGAGACATAAAAAACAAAGCTCCTCTCAAGCTGTGTGGCTGGAAAAGACTAACAACACCCAGTCTTTGGAAAAGGCAGCACAGGAGATGGCAAATTCCACTCAGCACCTGTGTCGGGCCCGGAATGGGGAGGTGGAAACATTCCGAAATCACTGCAGGGCAGAGGTAGCAATAACAGACCAGTTAGGAAGGGCAAAGTGACACTGTTCTGTTTATTGCAGGCCCTAGAGAGAGGTCAGGGAAAGAGGGATCCAAGGAACTTGGCCAGAGCCGGAGGTGAAGGAAGGAATTAACTTTTCCAACTGCACGAGGTGGATTCAATCACCGAGCAAGATGAGACAGGCTCTGGAAAGCCACGGGTTATAAAAGTTAAGCTGAGGGTTAGGCTGAGTCTGCCTGGAAATAAATTGATCAATTTAAGGCCTACCCACCAGATTTTTAACAATGCAGCATCGACCAAGGGAGGCCTCTCCTCCAGCCCCAAACCTGTGCCTGACACCTCCACGACGGCCACTTTTGGGAAATGCTTCAGGATCCTTCCACGTCAGGGGTGACTCTGCCAGCCATCAGGGCTGGGAACTCAGGGACATTAGGAACAGCATGGCAGGGCTGCTTAGGGGCTGCAAACTTAACGAGCAAACACAGCACTTCTTTTGACCTCAAACATCACTTTTCAGGATAAAAGAGAGGTCTCAAAATAATAAAAAAAAAAAAGCAGGACGAAACGCCCCGACCAGTGGCACTGCCGCATGGAGCCTCTTCCTCAGCATCCCAGAGCAGATGTGCTGCACTCAAAATGTCTTTGTCTATTAAAACTGTGTCAGCTTCAGAGCCTCCAAAACTCCCCGTGGCATAAACAGAATTCCTAATGAACAGCTGCAGGATCCAGGAGTGGCCGAGCAAAACGCCAGCTGCTGAGATCGTTTCCTCTGCCCCTCTCTCACCACCTTTACTCCTCTGCTGCCCAAATCCCACTTTTCCCCACTCTGGGTCTCTCCTGCCCTCCCTCTCCCACAGCTCTGGTGCTTCATTGTGTCTCCTGCACCCTCCACACACCTCCTGGTCCAACAGAGCCCTTGACGCTTCTCGTGCATCTCCAGTCCCTGCCAGGGTTTGATCCTTGCTCACACCAAGGAAGTGCAAAAAGGGGACATCAAGGAATAAAACATTATCTTCTAATTCCAGAGAACAAGAGCAGTCCTCAGGGAAGGATTCACCCTGAGTAAACTGACACCCTCCAACAGATCTTCCAGCTCCAACGCCGCCTTCCAGGCCGAGGCACCGACACACAACTCCTCGAGTTGGGTTGGTATTTTTTAAATCCTCTGCTTTTGAAACCCAAAACCAGCCAAGCCTGGACCAAAGGCACTTCCCAGCTGCTTCCCTGAGCCTAATGGTGTCCTCTGAGCTAGCTGGAGAAACAGCTGGAATGATTATTCAGTCAGGCACTTGCACTTTGAGAGAAATGTCATCTGCTGGGTCAATGCACACCACCCCCACCAAGTTCTGCTGGGAACAG